AGCAAGAAGCCAGGATTGGCTTAGCTTTGAGGTTCTCAAGCTACTACGCATTTTTATACCCATTTTTTCGATAGTTTGCAAAAGAGTGTTCTCATTTCTTAAAAGGTCCCCCGTGAAATGCATTTTCGTAATGAATGTGTTTGTTCGTCAGTTTCCTCGAATCAGTTAAACAAAGACGAACACACTTCTTAGTTAACAGTGTAGTAAATGATTAACGAGATCGGCTCTTCATAGTAAACTGTGCCAGAAATTAAACTTGATCAATAAATTCTCCCTCAATCTTGTTCTTGCTAAAAAGTATTTTGCGGTGGTGTGTAAACAGTCCTCCGAAATGTTGATCCTTTTTTTTTACCTAATCACATGTTGATCTTTTCTTTTCAGCCTAATTACGCTGAGATTATTCATATACCTGAGTCTAAGGCCTCCTTGCTAATTGGCTATCTTTCCATTGCCTCTACACTGTCACGTTTCCTGTTTGGTCTTGTGCTCAATCATCCAAGAATTAATCGTTTCTATGTTTTACAGGTATGTAAAGAGATGTTACCATGGCGACTGTAAGTCCTAGCGCAAAAAAAGAAATCTATGTGTAATGAACTACTTGAGCTACATGTAATTTCATTAGGATCTTTAAGTCACTGGTGTTAAATTGAATAATTTTGTGAAAGCATATTGCCGCATGTTGTTGCAGTCATGACGGGAAAGAGTTCGACAAATTCGGTCGAAGCTCTCCCTGCGACCACTCTCGTTAGCGAGCAGCTCTAGTTACGACCACCTTTGTGAAACCCCGTTTGAATTCGAAACTTAAACTTTGTAATGAAAAGCTCCCGTAAGCGACCGCGACTAGTTATGGGATTACTCAAATGGACCCTTCCTTTGTTTTTAAGCTCTCGTAAGCGACCACTCAGGGTCTTACTCATATAAATCAAAACTTAATTAGTGAAAATGCACACTGCACTAATGGTTCGTTGATAAAGATCTTGTACACTGCAGTTATTTGTAAAAGCTCATTTCTGTAGCCACCACATAGCCTGTGTGGCAACAACCACTCACAGAATTATAGATGTGTTTCTGAACCTCCGTAAGCGACTTCTCTCTGTCGTTTTATCATGCGGTCGCTTACAAGAGCTCATTCTCGTAAGCGACCAGCTCTTGTTATGACCACTTTTTCGAATTTCAGAGATGGTCGCTTACGAGAGCCTCGACTGTATTTATTCATTTGTTACTGTGGACCGCGTTATTGTTCCTTTATGAGGGTTCTAATGAACCAACTGGTACTCGGGCAACGAGAACTGTGGAATATGATAGGTTAATAGAGGCCTCTGTAGTCTCGAAAGTAAGATCCGATAACTTTTCTAGCTATAAAATGAAAATTGAGTTGATAGAAATTTACTTCATTTTATAAGCGTACAGCTCAACAAAACTGTGAAACATGGTGCTAGTGAAGACACTAGTGATCAGTTGGAGAAAGAAATGATATTAGAATTATTATACGTTTCTGGGAAACTGCCCACCTACCCCTCCCCGCAACCCAACATTAACTCTTACTTCTCAATTCGGGCAAAATGTTGTCTTAGGGGAGGGGTTGGTGGGCAGTTTCCCAGATATGATTGCCTTTTTCTTTCAGTTTGCCTTTATGATGATGGCTATTACATGTACGCTATGTCCGCTGGCACGAGATTACACCGGGCTTATACTATACGCTGTTGGCTTTGGAATGTTCGACGGATGTTTTATTTTGCTTATTACTATTACCACCTGTGATTTAGTCGGGCCTGAAAGGTTACCACAAGCCTTAGGAACTCTGTATGGGGTTGTATCACTTCCTGTTATATTTGGACCACCCCTGGTAGGTAGGTTCGATTTTTCTTTTGCAAGGGAGTGTCCATAGGAGAAGTTTTGGGACTTTGATGCTATTGATTCAGCAGTCTTAACTTTATGTTATCTAGAATTCATTTAATGACTGATGTTGGTCATCAGAGCCGGAGTAGAAAAAACATTTTGACCATTTATTTCGTCACTGCATTGGCACTTAGTTGAATTAAGTAAACCTCAAAGCAAAGTTTCCCTCTTGTCAGCCTGTGACGATTTCATGTGTATTTTAAAGACTGAAAAAAACCTGCGTCTTGCACGGTGCAATAGGCTTGATTTCTGCCACTCTCTGTTGTCTTTTTTGTCTGCCAGGGTCTTTTTGGGGAAAAAGCGCACAGTCATTTCCCATAATCGAACCCAGGTGCGGCCTCCTTTGGTGCGGCCTGGAATCATTTTCCCGCGATAACCGGACGGATACAAAGAAAATTAAAGTAAATTATAGTTTACTCGAAATTAACCTTTTTTATTCAAACATTAAACTATTGCATATTCTTTCTCTTCCAGCGTATATTTTCGAGATAACCGGCTCATACAGGGACGCTTTCTTTGTTGCCGGAGGTGCCATAGCTGCTGGATCTTGCATTCATTCTCTAACTGGACTGGTATTTCTGTCAGAAGCGAAAGAAAGAGAACAAATCTGCGAAGAGTGCGGGAAAGAAAATGATAGTGCGATTGCGGAGGAAAAAAGAAACGGATATGCTTAATACGAGACACCAGCCTCCTCCTCAGGTGCTTCGTTTTTCGCTTGGCAGAGGCGAGCGCGAAACGTAAGGGAGTGGTGATGAACCGCAAGGGACTATGGGAAGGGTACAGACGGCAGACCCCCGTTGTCTCCTTCCCGCCTTCCTTTGCGTGCACATTTTCATCGAAAGAGAGACGTCTGGGTACGAGGCAGACGAGACACCTTATACTGTGCAATGTGGCCGTTTTGCTGGCTTGTGGACACGTTTAGTTATGAAACATAAGGAGCAAAAAGCAAGGCGTCACCGACTAAACGCAGTAATTAGTCACTAACGAATTGCAACGTAAATACATTAGTGCGTAACGGTCCCAATGCAAGTTATCAGAAATGGGCGTCAAAGATAGCATTTTCACTGCATAACCAAACCACCTACATGTAACTATAAACTGATCTGTTACTAATATTCATGGATTTCCCCCAACCTACAAAGTAGAAAAGGGCTGCAATCTTACAAGTTAAAGGGTCAACCCTTTTTTGTTGTTGTTGTTGTTTATAGCTTTTCTCTCGTGAATTCCACTTATTTAGCATTTCTGATATTTTTCCCTGACTCGTCCCCAGTCGCCTCTAAGTTGTCTCTACTCATTAATTATTTGCTAGGGAAGCGCTTGGGTTATGCGCGCGGGGAAGATGGGAAGCCGTCATCCCCTGTGTTAAAGAGCCCGTTTTAGTCTTCCACGCCGAATACTAATAATGAGAGACGACTGGGGACGAGTCAGTATTTTTCCAGTCACTCCATTAACATGACGCGAGAAACGAGTGCCTCTCCCGTCTCGTGCGTTCAGTCACGCGTGTGGTCATTTGCGTGTCTCGGGCGTTTTGCTCGACGGACCAAGAAAAAAGAGAGACTGCTCGTAGTCTACTTCACTCGTTCAACAAAGCTTTCCTCATGATTGATCCCCTGGATCTGTTAGTTAATGATTAGGTATGATGATTACTGCGGGTAAGGTAAATTAGATAGTGATCAAATGTGATTTTCATGTGCGTAGCTGATTCAGGTATTTGTCATGTGGGAGCTCCAAACTATATTCTCAAAATTGAAACTGTTTTATATTCGCGGCCCTTTTCCTTCCTTCCAAGTGTTTTCCTACAAATCTGATTAAAGACAGGTTTGAAAAAGCTTCTGTTGGAATGATGTTAGGTCACATGTTGCACAAGTCGTATGTCTTAGCTTCCAAGTAAAGGGCTTGGGCGATTTTGGAAAAAAGGCTGTTTTGCAGTCTTTAACATGACACAAGATACCGGCAGGATGCGGGAGTTAAAAAACAACACCGCAATTTGTGACTACAATGAACAAAACAAATAAATTCAACGGAATGTCAAAGCGGTCTGTTTGAAGGCATTCCGGGCTCTGATTAAGGTCAGTGAACTTTGATGTTTATTGAAAATCATACAGATATCGGGGTAATCGGCTTTTATCTGATTTATAGACTCTGTTGAGGACATACTTCAATGCATTGTCAATTAATTCCAGTACTAACTCACTCTATGATGTTGACTGGTCGAGGTCTAGAGTGAAATGACTGACGGCTCGTTCATTCCAAGGTTCCTTATATAGGCGGTCTCCGCGCTTAATATATAGAGGTTTTAAACAGTTAGAAATTAGCAAAATAAAATCTTTTATAGCGTCCAGGTGTCAGCTGAATTTGTGACGTGAATTTGAAAACCGGACGTAATGATAAGGATTTCATTACTTTCGCCTCACTTTTAAATGGGTTGGGAGTGCATTCCTCAGCCCCGGTCCTCAGCCTCGAAAGTAACACACCTATCAGGCCACCTAACCCACAATTCAACAATGATAGTATCAAGTTTTTTGCTGAACAAAGGCCGCTGTAATTTGTGTTTAGACAGCCTATTGTTCATGATATCCCTTATGCGACGCACGGCCGAACGTTTATCTTTTCAGCTGTCTTTATTGTATGTCTTGCACACGAGTGTTCTGGTGATCATCTGAGAGGCGAATTCTTAGTCTATAATGATAAAACTTTGGAACAAGATCGCCAGAAAGAAAACGAAAAAGTTGGAGGTTACCGCAGTAGAGATTTGCGCAGAAATGGAATGTCCCGACGGTGGATATGGTTGGACTATTTGCATCGCAGCGGCGATTTGCCAGTTTATCATCATGGGTATTCACAACAACTTTGGGATTTTATATACTTACTTGATGAAGGATTTAAAGGCAGATCCTACAGATACCGGTGAGTTATCACAATGTGATCTATATTAACTTTATTAAAGCCGGCTAGTAGTTACGTAACCTCAGCAGAATTTCTGAAAACCAAACTCTCTCGCTTTTGGATCATTTTCACCCTTGCTTCCTAAACTTCATCTGTTCAGTATTTGATCCGAAGATTGCTGAACACATTTCTGAACTTAGGGATCTAAGAGATCGCGTGTTGTCAGTAGTGGTTAAAATCATTATAAAGTTTGCTGTCGACAAATAGCGCAGTAACTTAATATTATACGTGCACGCATATATCGTACGTCTACAAAAATGCATCATAGTCTGTGGTGAATCCCACAGAAATTGCATTGTGCTATGATCCACAGTGTTAGCTTGACCTGCAGGTCGAGAACTCGAAAACTAACCTGACTTCAACCCTGTTTTGTGAGCCAAGAGTCATGAAAAGAGCGTTTAAAATAGGACCGAGAAAGTTTTTTGTTTTTCCTGTTTCATTTTGGTGAACATCATGACTGTTTGGGTCTCATGACAAACTAACAAGTTCTTTTACTGAGTACAGCATTGAGACTAATGATGTCCAACGTTTCCAAGGGGGCTACACGCAATCATCATCAAGATTATCGAGGCAAAGTGACTGTTTCTTTTTAAATTTAATTGACTTAATTGAAAACAATAGTAAAGAACCTTTTGCTTCTTTTGTGTTCATGTCAATAACAGCGAGGATATCAACATTTCGTTAATGCATTAAACGTGAACACTGATTTCTTGCAGCTTTTTTCAGGGCTAAAAAATTGTTATTCAATTCTGTTTTGACATCCTGTGCTAATCGTTCATATTCTAGCCTGACGAGCCCCTAAGAAGGTAAGAACGTCTGCGTAGGAGGTTATTCAGTTTAAGTTTCTTGCCAATTAAGGAATTCAGTAAAACCTTGCTGATTTGGCAACATGTTGATGACTTTGATGAGGAGGGGTATGTTATGAAAGTGACGGACATATATATTATCTTATTTGGAAATGAAGACGCAACTCGTTTTTGGAGGTGATTTTTGGTTTCGGTTTCTTAGGGTTTTAAAACACCCCCGGATTTTCCGGGATCGTGAACCAGATTTATCAGACAAAAAGGAGTTGTGTATCAGTTTAAATGTGTATCTGTGTACAAAAAGTGTTTGCTCAGTGAGTTGGCTTTTGTTTAGCCTGTTCCGGCCAGGTGCTCAGAAAGTCGGAAGTGGAAGTCAAGGTTGTACAAATGATGTACAAATGTGTTAACAATTTAGTGCCAGCATGTATTAGCTGTAAAATAGGGAAGCCATCCAATGCGCACGCTTACAATCTCCGCAACAGTGAAGATCTAAACCTGCCAGGATGCCGGACAGCGGCTGCCCAGAGTGGCTTCTTTTATAGGGCAGCAAAAGCGTGGAATAGTCTCAGTAACAACACTAGAACTGTCCGATCATTAAGATCATTTAAAAAGCATGCAGAGGCAGAATTAATGAAGAAATAGGATACCGGTATACATATCATAGTATTTTATTACATTGTTAGTTATTATTAGAAGTAGTAATTTTAAGTTGTTATTTATATATCAAGAACATGTATATCATTAGTTTTAGTTGTATTGTATATACATATTGTAAATTAATTCTGAAAAGCCCCTTGGGGAGAATTAATAAAAGTTTTGTATTGTATTGTAAGGTTAAATGTTAGCAAAAAACTAGAGGAAAATTGGCGCTCTCCCCGGTCTCCGCTATTTTTTTCGCCCTCACTCCACTGTTTGAATGCCTGTAACATCCCTGATTTTGTTTAAAGCTGCCTTATAGCTTATGGCTGACTTTAAATTTAGTGCTTGATCTAAACATAGCTCAGTTTTTTTTAAGGGACAGGTTCACAGTTCAGCGCATGCTCCGTATATCAGAATGCTGTTTTTCTGTCGGGACATGCTGTATCATCTATGCAAGCAATATGATCATGTCATAGTGTTGTCAAAGAACCAATCTGCACACTCCCCTGGCAGTCACTTGCACTTGACTAACTTAAATATTTGCAAATAGCTGTAAATTAATCAACCATGGAATAAAACCATCGGGTCAACAATAAATTCAACATTGTTAGTGTTGGCATAATCCCCTATTTTTTTTCGGCGATTTTAGTACTCCACCATGCTACTTCAGGTTACCCTGAATACAATTCTACTTTGAAATACACTCTGAGATCGCTGAGATACATGTGAGTGGGATTATTAACCGTGAATTAATGATAAATTGGAAAGAAGTAATTTAGTTAATGAGCATGCGCTTAACCGTGAACCTGTTTTTCTAAGTATGAGGGATTTTTTAGATTTGATACTCTTCTTTGGCGAATGTTATTTCAACAGACCCGTCCACGGTTTTTTTCAAGTCAGTTATGACAGACCAGTTAGCGAATATCCATTGACACTGCTTGAAAGAGCGCCTTTAAAATGGAAAACTCACCAAGTTTTAAGGTGATACATTAATCGCCAAATTTTACGTTTGTATGGTTTGTATGATGGCGCGAACTTGCCCCCCTCTGGCATGCATACAAACGTCTAAAACATTGAGCGAATCTTCGTTAGTTTTTCAACAAATCACGTTAAAACTTGACATCTTTATTAATTTTAAGGCCTTCGTTTCTTTAACTGGTCCCGGTCAAACGTCGATGAAACCGTGGAATAGTTTTAAAAATACCCCGATCCAAATGTTATTATGACAGAATTCGACTTTTTACGTTTCAGCATGGATTGGTTCAATTGCGTTTGGTGTAAACTTCCTTTTCGGTCCAGTAGCGAGCAGTTTGTGTCAAAGATTCAGCTGTCGCCCTGTAGCTGCAGCGGGTGGTCTTATTGCAGTCCTCGGTTTCTTGATGACGTCATTTGCTAATAGTGTCTACATCATGTACTTCACCTACAGTGTTGTCTGGGGATTTGGTTCTTCTTTAAGCTTTGCTGCAACTACTATTGTATTGGGTGAGTTCAACATCCACTTATCTAGTACATATCATTTCGAATGTGCCACGTATAAATGGTATTCGAGTCAATTATCGCATGAAATTTGTCCTTAAAATGGCTTCATGATCAGCTCCGAGGCGGTTCCTGTGGCTCAGTGGTAGAGCATCTTAACAGGTAACCAGAAGGTAATAGCGTCGACTACTGTTTGGAAGACTCCAATTTCCCTTTTTACGAGTCGAGCTGTTTCACTGACTTAGAAAACATCATTCTCATACTGTCGCATTGTTAATAAGTTGCAGTTTCTTCCTTAGTAGCGTAAAAAAAACCCTGGGCAATGTCGCTTTGTTCACTTGTTGTTGTATGCTATACAGCCTAAACGACGCAAAACCACTGCGGCGACATATAATGTAGGAAACCTGCAATATATTGACGCAAATGTGCCACATGCACGCGCAGTTTAAGCTAGTTAAGTCGCGCTAGATGATGGTCTAGTTAAGTCCAGAGAGGATATTTCCCCAAGAAGGGCCCCTGTACTAATTACATTTTACAATATGTTCGTACAGGTCAGTACTTCGACAGGAATCTTGCGTTGGCCAATGGTATTGTTACTGGTGGAAGTGGTGTCGGAGCGATAGCAATGGGACCCTTTTATCATCTGGTATTGTCAAACCTCGGCTGGAAAATCATGCTAAGAATTCTTTGTGGATTCGCCTTTCTCATGTTTGTGAGCGCACTATTCTACCGTACCCTCCCTGCCAAGTATAAACGCGCCCACATAGGCCGAAATGAGAGACCCAAGCTGTTTGACTTGTCCGTGTGGAAGATAAAGCCGTTCATGTTTTGGGCTGTGGCCATGTGGCTGATACATATTGGCTATTTTGTTCCCTTCATTCACTTGGTGAGCAAACGAATAGTAAATATAACAGACTGATAATCGATTGAACGGCTTTTTAAAATTTTCACTTTTTTCCAGACGTAGGAGGAAATAAGTAGTCTCCCCTGTGAAAGTTACAAATATTTTTTGTTCACTTTCACCAAAGTAAATTTGAAGTAGAGACAAGCAAGAATCCAGGATTTGCTTTGCTTTGACGTTCTCGAGCTACTGCGCATTTTTATGCCCATTTTTTCGATAGTTTGTTCGTCAGTTTCCACAAATCAGTTGAACACAGACGAACGCACTTCTTAATTAACAGAGTAGTCAATGATTAACGAGATCGGCTCTTCATAGTACACTGTGCCAGAAATTAAACTTGATCAATAAATTTTTCTTCAATCCTGTTCTTGCTAAAAAGTTTTTGAGGTGGTGTGTAAACAGTCCTCCGAAATGTTGGTCCTTTCTTTTTACCGCTAATTTATCACATGTTGATTTTTTTTTTCAGCCTAATTACGCTGAAATTATTCATATACCTGAGTCTAAGGCCTCCTTGCTAATAGGGTATCTTTCCATTGCTTCTACACTGTCACGTGTCCTGTTTGGTCTTGTGCTCAATCATCTAAGAATTAATCGTTTCCATGTTTTACAGGTATGTAAAGAGATGTTACCATGGCGACTGTACCTAGTCCCCACGCAAAAAAGAGAAATCTATTTATTATATAGATACTGATGAAATACCAGGATTTTTCCTCCACCTAAAAAATCATATCTTCATCGCGCGCAGTGGAGATACTATTTTTATCTTTCACGTGTCAGGATATTAGTGTCGCCATGGTTACTAATATGATTAGCCAATTACAAGAATTACAAGAGTTTCAAGACGTTGTGTTTTATGTAGGAATTTCATCAGTATCTATAAAATAAACAGAACATTACATGGCCGCTTGGGGATACGAATTTTATCTTCTCGTGCTATAAGTATCTCTTACTCGTTCGCTTCGCTCACTCGTGAGAGATATTTCCAGCACTCGAAGATAAAATTCGTATCCCCGCGCGGCCATGTAATATCCTCTATGTGTAAACTGAGTCGACCTGATATCCAGCATTAATAAACTGCTTGAGTTAATTTCATTAGGTTCTGTAAGTCTCTAGTGTTAAATTGAATAATTATTTTGTGAAAGCATATTGCCGCCTGTTGTTGCAGTTATGACGGGAAAAGAGTTCGAAAAATTTAGTCGAAGCTCTCCCTACGACCACTCTCGTAAGCGACCAGCTCTAGTTACTACCACCTATGTGACTACCCTGTTTGAACTGTGACTTAAACTTTGTAATGAAAAGCTCACGTAAGCGATCGCGACTACTTTTGGGATTACCCAACTGGACTTTTCTTTTGTTTTTAAGCTCTCGTAAGCGACCACTCAGGGTCTTACTCATATAAATCAAAACTTAATTAGTGAAAATGCACACTGCAGTTATTTGTAAAAGCTCAAAGTCATTTCCGTAGCCACCACATAGCCTACGTGGCAACAACCACTCACAGAATGATAAACGTGTTTCTGAACCTCCGTAAGCGACTACCCTCTGTCGTTTTACCATGCGGTAGCTTACGAGAGCTCATTCTCGTAAGCCACCAGCTCTTGTTACGAGCACGTTTTCGAATTTCCGGGTGGTCGCTTTCGAGAGCTTCGACTGTATTTATTCATTTGTTACTGTGGACCGCGTTATTGTTGCTTTATTAGGGTTCTAATGAACCAACTGGTACTCGGGCAACGAGAACTGTGGAACATACGTTAATAGAGGCCTCTGTCAGTCTCGAACCTAGTCTCCGATAACTTTTCTAGCTATAAAATGAAAACTGTATAGTTGAAAGAAATTTACTTGATTTTATAAGCGTACAGCTCAACAAAACAGTGAAACATGGTGCTAGTGAAGACACTAGTGATCAGTTGGAGAAAGAAATGATATTAGAATTATTATACGTTTCTGGGAAACTTCCCACCTACCCCTCCCCGCAACCCAACATTAACTCTAACTTTTCAACTAGGGCAAAATGTTGGCTTAGGGGACGGGTAGGTGGGCAGTTTCCCAGAAACGTATAATGATCTTGATATGATTGCCTTTTTCTTTCAGTTTGCCTTTATGATGATGGCTATTACATGTACACTATGTCCGCTGGCACGAGATTACACAGGGCTCATACTATATGCTGTTGGCTTTGGAATGTTCGACGGATGTTTTATTTTGCTTATCGCTATTACCACCTGTGATTTAGTCGGACCTGAAAGGCTACCACAAGCCTTAGGAACTCTGTATGGGGTTGTATCACTTCCTATTATATTTGGACCACCCCTGGCAGGTACGTTTGATCTTTCTTTTGCAAGGGAGTGTCCATAGGAGAAGCTTTGGGACTTTGATGCTATTGATTCAACAGTCTTAACTTTATATTATCTAGAACTTATTTAATGACTAATGTTGGTTCAACAGAGCCCGAGTGGAATAAACATTTTAACCATTTATTTCGCCACTTCATCAATACTTTGTTGAATTAAGTAAACCTCAAAGCAAAGTTTCCCTTTTGTCAGCCTGTGACGATTTCATGTGTATTTGAAGACTGAAAAATTGGCCTTCTCAGTTCACAAGAAGCGCTTTTGCTAGGTAGAACACCTGCGTCTTGCACGGCGCAATAGGCTTGATTTCTGCCACTCTCTGTTGTCTTTTTTGTCTGCCAGGGTCTTTTTGGAGAAAAAAGCGCACATTCATTTCCCATAATCGAGCCCAGGTGCGGCCTCCTTTGGTGCGGCCTGGACTTCTCTGTCACGCCTGGTATTGTCCCGTAATGACTGACGGATACAAAGAAAAGTAAATTGTAGTTTACTCGAAATTAACCCTTTTTATTGAAACATTAAACTATTGCATTATCTTTCTCTTCCAGCGTACATTTTCGAGATAACCGGCTCATACAGGGACGCTTTCTTCGTCGCCGGAGGCGCCATAGCTGCTGGATCTTGCATTCATTCTCTAACTGGACTGGTATTTCTGTCCGAAACGAAAGAAAGAGAACAAATATGCGAGGAGTGCGGGAAAGAAAATGATATTGCGATTGCGGAAGAATAAAGAAACTGATCAGTGCTTAATACGAGACACCTCATGTTCTGCAGTGTGGCCGTCTTGCTGGCTTGTGGACACATTTAGTAATGTGACAACTGTATTTGAAATAAATCATATATGAGAACTGTGGAAATGAAATCAAGTGGAGAATGATCCTCGCAGTTGTGAACGCAATTTATGCAATTGCGTGGGAAGCCTAAAAAAAATTCTTCAAGACTTTAACGGGATTTGAACTCGTGACGTCCCGACGTGACTTTAGTACTGAAACATAAAGAGCAAAGCACTGCATCAGTGACTAAACCCAGTAATTAGTCATTAATGAATTGTAACATAAATGCATTGGTGCGTACGGTCTTCGTACAAGTTATCAAAATGGGCGTCAAAGATAGCATTTTCAATGTATTTTCTTAAACCCAAACCACCTACATGTAACTAAAAAACTGATATGTTACCGATATTTATGGATTTCCTCCAACCTACAAAGTAGAAAAGGGCCGCAATATTACAAGTTAATGGGTCAAACCCGTTTCTAGGCTGCATGATATCCAAGGCCTCTATTTAAAGACTTTATCAGATCACTCTTGTTTATGGCTTCGTTTCGAAATTCTGAATCCTTCCCGCTTTGAAAAGGCTTAAGAAACCAAAAATGTGCAATAGGTCAGCCTCAAACTCTAGAAGAAAAACCGAGTCGATGAAGTCAATTTGTCCACCATGAAAAGTTGCTGACCATGTTGCTGTTTATCTTTCTCTTTCATGGCATACTTTATCGTCAATCGTGTTTATATACACATATATAACTTTGTAATCACATATATAACTTTTTGATCAATTTTATCTGAGGAGTGCCGTACATGCCGTGCGGTACGAAACTAAGTAATAACAGGAGCTATGGGCTCCTGGTAGTAATAAAAATGCCAAGGCGGATCTCACGTTGACACCTGACAAACTAGATTATACAACGCTTTAGTCCTTCTATTGAGCACTCTGTCGATAGGCGTGCATATGCATCAACTGGTATAACTTTTTAATCATATATTATTATATTATTAAAATGAACTGTTGGTGTTAAAGCACATTATTTTGCGAGTTTACACAGGTACCCCAAGCTCACGAGTGAGTTGCATACCAGAAATAATATAAGAGTTTGTATGGAAAATTTTCGATCGTTATTTAGGACATTAAAGTGGAAATAAAAATACATCAATGTAATTTATTTCTATTTTAATGCCTTATTTCTGGTATGCAACTTACTCGTGAGCTTTGGCGGTACCTGTGGTTTAATGTTTTCTTTTTTTTCTGAAAACTCATGTTTGTAAGAAGACGTGCATGTAATACCGAATGATGGAAAGCATTTTTGTTGGTTAAGTATTCAGTTTATTTATGTTATTTGTTAACCTTGGTGGTTTTCAGTCTATGAGCTAAATACTTAGAAAAAGAACTGCTTGCAGGCCCTTTTTTCCCTCTTATCTTGTGTTCCAGATTATTGTCTCTGTCAAATTTCCCCATGAGTGACATTGGCTAAATAATGAAATATATGTTGCAGTTAATTTTTTGTTTCAGTTAATCTTTGTTTTTCCTTTGTTAAGTATCGTCATTAGCATACACTGTCATACCCAAAAACAATGAAAAAATAAACATTAACTGAAATAAAAAAATTAACTGCAACATATGTAACAAACCAGATAAAAAGAAATGGAAAACTAACTGGTAATATATTATATTCTTAGCATTGTCACCTCCTGCTGAAAATGTTTCAAAAACTTTGGCCAACCCATGGGTGGTGGCGAGGGGTACTATTAGTTTGAAATTTTGCTTTGTATCTTATGCCTGATCTGAATGTTAATCTGTTGTGCTTACTGGCGTTATAGCCAGTGCAGTATGCATTATGTAAACGACCTCAGCAAGTCAATGGAATTCGCCAACGACGAAATTGAGGACCTAAAGAAGAATGACAAAGAAAATAAAGTCAAAATCAAGAAACTTGAGGACAAAATATTGTACCAAGAGGTGTACAACAGGCGAGAAAACCTAAGATTCTTCGGTTTTCCAGAATCCTCTGATGGAGCTGAGAATACGCATGAAGTTGTAGGAAAATTCCTTAGCGATGAATTGGAGATGGAAAACGCAGCAAGATATTAAATTTTAGCGAGCTCATAGAATAGGAAAGAAGAAGACGGGCGCAAAACCAGACCGGTGATTGTTCGTTTTTTGAGCTTTCCAGAACGTGAGCTGGTTTTTAGAAGAGTGCGCGAGCTGGCAGATAAAATCGATATTAAGGTCTACGCGGATTTCCCTAAAGAAATAAGCGAAAAGAGAAAAAAGTAGTGGCCACATCTTAAAAAAGCAAGAGAGGAGGGAAAGATTGCTTTCTTTAGCAAACCAGAACCTGATAAATTATTTATTGATGAACCATTTGTTCCCTTATAGACAAATCTAGGTTTTTGGACCCAGTTGATTTTAATTGACTTGTTTATACTTTTCAGCAGGCTGTTTTTGTAACGGGAGTGGCATGTGTAGGTTAGAACAATTGGGAGTAGTTGAAACGATTGTCCCAAGCTCTGTGGCAGCGTCTTCTAGGTAATAATTACCTCACCGCTATTTCTTTCTTTCTTAAAACTTCGTAATGCATTTTTTGTTTGTTTGTTTTTGCTTTGTTTTGTTTGTCTTTTTGTTTTCTCAGTGTTTTGTGAGTGTGCATGATGTGTGCGTTTTGTGTGTGTTATCTACCTACGTGTTGTGTGTTTTTGCACCTCAGTTGTTACCTCTTTTCAATTCTTGTGTACCTCTGCGGTGGAAAATTATTTGTATGCGCATAATTTAGTTTTTCGCTGATCCCATTCATGAAAGAATTTTTGGATTTTAAATTATTGTCTCTAATGTTCGAGGGATTCGCTCCGCCACGAAAAGGAAGTCCCTTTTTACCCGACTAAATGAAAGGAGGTATGATATTATCTTCCTTCAAGAGACCCGATAGCATTGTTGATGTTGAAGACATTTGGAGAACACAATCGGGAGGTAAGCTCTGTTTTGCTCACAGCTCTAATCATAGTTGTGGGGTGATGATTCTGGTGATAAGTGACTTAGATTTTAATTCCGCCCAGGAACTATTAGTTGTGATGGCGAGGGCCGCTCCATTATAATTGAAGCTGAGGTCCAAGGTTCGCCATTTTTGTTTGTAACAGTTATGCTCCAAACTAGGTTCAAGACCAACGCCGTTTTTTCTTGATAAGTTAAACAAAAATATTGAAGACTGCGTCGTTAGTTAAGAGCTTAGAATTATTCTCGGGGGAGACTTTGATGTAACACTCGACTTTGATCTTGACTGAATGAATTAAAAAATAGCTATTTTTCGGAGGGAGAGAAGAGAGTTAAGTTAAGTTAAGCTTAAGTGGTCAAACTGTTTTACTTGAAAAAGCGTATTTTAAAATTGTTTATAAAGAGCTTCGAAACACAATCGTCACTCCACAAACGGCTAAACTAAAGTTTAATGCTCATTTTGTTAATGACACTTTGAATTGGAAAAAAATTTACAGCTTCCCATATCGTGTTGCCTTGGATACAAAGACTCGCGAATTTCAGTATAAATTACTAAACAGATGCCTTAATGTGACAAATACCTTCTTATGCAAAATTGGTATTATACCATCTCCCGCGTGCTCCTTATGTGGTGAATCGGATTAATCCCTCGAACATCTTTTCCTGTCTTGTCATTATAATAGGAATTTCTGGTCTGAGGTTATAAAATGGCTCGTTGATCATAAGGTCAAGATTGAAAATCTTTCAGACAAAGATATAATATATCTAATAATGAAATACATAACAAAATAATATTCATTAAATTACAAAAAAAAAAGTATGCATTATGTCAATGTGTGTGTAAGTCCATCCGTCCATAACAGTTTTTCCATTATAGTCATTGCACAAGGCATTAATGCTTAACCTTCAGCCGAGGGTACTGGGTTAGATACCCTCTAATGCCCTTTTTTCGCCGTAGAATTCAATAGATTTTTTTAAGTGCAACAAAAAAACTTTGCTCATTAGGAATAAAATGCATGTCCCGTAGTAAAGGATTAAATTAACTGCAAAAACCGTAGCACCCAGTTTTAGCCTTAAACTTCTAGAGCAGAGGTATCAGGTTTGATAACCGGCATCGCCCATATTAGTGATATTTTTTGTTTGACAAATTTTAAAATAGATTCTTTTCTTCTTGTTTTTCTTTTTTATGGTTGCGGGAGTACAGACTATTCATAGCCAGTAAGCATATGTCCTCTCAGAGGAGCATTCTTTATTTTGAAAACCTTTTAAGGCAGTTTTACTGTACTAAAAACCAGCTAATTTTTTAGTATATACTAAAACAGTGGATAGTGTTTTTCGCGCGCTCTGATTGGCTACTCAATCAGTACATATCCTGCACTGTTCACTGATTCACCTCCAGTTCCTCGGAGCGAGCGACGCCAAACTCGTGTAAGTTGCAAGCAAAATGCCTTCCCAGTTTGCTGCCGTAAACAAACAAAGAAATTTCACAACTAATCAAGCAAGCTGTTTCCGAAATACACGAAGAAGGTGACGAAGTTCGGATTGGAAGTTTTAACAGGTAAAGCTTGGTCTTTTTGACCCGAATTTATCGATAAAACCGGTGAAAAAGTTTTTTGTTTACAAATGCAAATGAAGCTTAAGTCTTGCTTACTTTATTTAGTTGAGTTGTTCATAAATAAGCTTTAAACTAAATTTAATAATCTTTTTTTATAGAATGATTTTAAATACAAAAAGAATTCACAACTCCTTTTGAAGAAATTTCCCCGCAAGAGCTAAACAAATGCCTTCAAAAGTTTTAGTTGCCGGCAAGAAAAAGCGACGGCCGCGGCCGCCCGGTCATTAGGCGCCAAAATTGTAATCGTTGGCAACAGTATTTGAGTTAAAAATCGTCGTTTTTGTGCTCAATTATCTCACTGTTTTAGGATATACTAAAACAACTATTCACCTCAGTGTCGGTGGCTAGTCGTGGATATTTACCTCACTGCTTCGCAGTTTGGTAAATATTCAGGACTAGCCACCTCCACTTCGGTGAATAATTGTTATTTAACTTTCAAAGGCCCAATTGGAGACATTAATGTTTAGGTACAAGCTTCAAGGATATCGTTATGACATAATTAAGCTTATTAAGTCCACTGAAAACAAATGAGGTGTTAGCAGTGTAAAGAAAAAAAGAAAAAGAAACTCTCTCATTGCGCTTCAAAACCATGAGAAGGAATGCAGCTGAATGCATCGTATACTTGAATGTTAGGTGAACTAAGTTTTTTTGAATTTTCCTCCATTTCGCAATGCAAGAAGTTTTCTACTGTTATGAGGCGATAATTTGGTGGGGGACTTTGGTCTTAATTGGATACGGATAACTGAATAAATGGTTTGGTTTTTATATGTTTAGACCAGTGAGAAACGAGCCAACATGACCTAGCTGAAATTTGTTTGGCTGGTCATTTTTTTGAAATTACTAGTGACTCGGTGGCTTTTACCTCTGTTTCTCTCTATACCTACTACATAACATGCAAGTCAGCTCCACTCATCCACAACAACTATGTGCTTCCGGTTAAGTGAAGCATATTAAATTCTACAACATTGTCTACTATCGACAACTGAATGGTCAGCAAATGTAAATAATATTTTTCACAGAGAATGGCCTTTCTTTTAGTCTTTTTTGGCAAGTTTCTGTCCGATACAGTTGGTTTTGTCTGTACTTTGAATCAAGTAGCACCTCCCATCTGTAAGAACATAAATTATTCGGCTGATTATGACATCACGTTTTCAACTACTGAGGTCAAATAGCTACGTCTGGATAATCTGCATTAATATACAATTGACGGGTTTAGTTCTATAAATTTCGCCTTTGATATGTGATTTAACTATGGAATCTCCGTTGAAAAACCTTCAAAAACATGTTGAATGTTCGCTATGCTTGGATATTCTTACCAAGCCGAAGACCATAGCGTGTCTTCACACTTTCTGCTGTCTGTGCTTGAAGAAACACGCGCTTTCGAGTCAGAGAGATGGTCAGTTTCGCTGCCCCGAGTGCCAAACACAAATCTGCATCCCCGAAGGAAACAATTTCGATCAGCTACCGACCAGCTCTCATCACACCAGCCTGCTCAACATTTTCGCTGTTCAACAAAGCTGCAATGGACGTGAGGTCAGGTGTGGGATTTGTGAGAAAAAGAGTGCCGAATGCACTTACTGTTTTGACTGCGAGAAGCTGATGTGTAATGTCTGCTTGAACGCTCACGAGCTGTTTAGAGCTGTTGCGTTAGAAGAACACAAAGTTACCCCAGTCCAACAGTTTAAAGCCGCAGATTACGAAGCCTTGACAAAGCGAAAGGATTTTTGTGCGGTGAAGTCCCACGAAGGAGAGGTGATGAGGTTTTATTGTCGTGACTGTGAAACTTGTATTTGTCAAGTGTGTGTCAATACTGACCACAAAAATCATGCGACTGAGTCGCTCGATAAGGCTGCGGAGGTAGAAAAGGCCAAAATTTTGGCTGGAACCGAAAAGATGAAACAAAAGAACTTGCTTTGCAATAACGTGGTACGGAAGTTTGAGGAATCAGCTGCTAACTTCGAAACTGACATTGCCGCTGCTAAACACAAGGTGTCTGAGGCAGCTGAACAAATGATCGCTGCTGTTCGCGAACGAGAGCGAGAAATGATAACCGCCCTCGAGGACACACGCGTGTCGAGGAAGGAGAAATTAAATGCTGCAAAAAAAGAGGCTGAGGAGCTGAGGAAACAGCTCAACCAAGCCGCAGAGTACACCAGTGACTTGGCTCAGAGAAGCTCGAGTGCACACTCTATGCTAAGATTTCAAGAGCTTAGCCAAGTTCAACTCCCTGAGCTACCAGTTAGTTCGTTTGTTAGGTTCATACCGGCGAGTGAACCCGATGAATTGAGTTTGGGGTTTATAAAAACTAGCGAAACAGACGAAGATGAACAACCGTCAGAGAATGAGTAGGACTGCTGTCGTACAAACAAACAGAGACTTAAAATAATGAAGTATTGTTGAGCCTTATCACCGATTGAGAACTTGATGCCCTTCGTAATTGGTGTGCGGGAACAGCTTACAGTCGAACCTCTCTGTACGGACACCTCTCTATTACGGGCAGTTTCCAATTTCCCGACAAAATTCTCATATATTTTCTTTAAAAATAACTCTATAATACGGACTCTCTAATACGGACAACGGACACTAAATCTCGGCCCCAGAGAGTAAATTCATATTTTTATTAAACTGAACCTCTTTATCACGGACACAGCGAAGATCAGGCGAATCCCGAATCCCGATCAGGTGAACCTGCACAGGGTGAATCCCGTCTAGTCTGGCTGATGAGCTATGCAAGGTGATATAAAGCCCAGTGACTGTATACCAAACAAAGATTTGCGAAAAGTCTACAGAGGAACATAACCGATTTTTTGGAGGCTTCAATGACTACAGAGAGCATAAAGATCTTTTCTATTACATTTTGTAGTCTAGTTACTGTTTACTGCACTTGCAAAATAGCGAAAGACGCTTTCAGAATTGTGCTTTACGTTACAACTTTTTACATGCAGCATTGCGCCTTAGCTCGTTTCGTTTTAAAACAGTAGTTTGTCTGTTGCTCAGATGTACAATGTTGTATGCTACTGAAAGACAGTGTCTTTGTACTGTGAATTAATAACTTTAAATGCCGCTTAAAGACGAGGGTGGGCCTGGTTTTAGGTACTGAACACTTATAACTGTAACTGGAGTCATCAAAGTGACGTCGTCATAGTGACCTCTTTTATACGCGGACACCTCTCTAATACGGAAACTTCGCTCTGTCCTTTCGGCGTCCGTATTAGAGAGGTTCAACTGTACTTTGAAGACTGCAAGGTTCTTAAGGGCCAGCAATAATTGGTGTAAACCGCAAATGATAAGCAGCTGTATTAAAGACAAACTGCGAAAATACGGACTGTTTCTTGTTGCTAGGCTTAAAGGAGGACTAAGCGCTAACTGTATTGTTTTATAAAAAGAAAAGCAACTAAAGTGTGTGAATTTTCGAGGGTATATTGTTTTTGTTTTAACCTCATGCATGGTGGAAAACAGAAAATTGCACATTGTAGCTTCAGCGTTAGATTCAAGGTGGTCTGTGATTATTTGAGGGGTAATTCCTTCCCATGTATTATTTGGGGTGGCTCCTTGAGCCTGTGGTATGTTTTAGAGATACTGAAAATTGCACTCTAAAAAGTTCATCATCAGTAAACCAAAAAAAATTACAATTAAATACTTCAAATGTCTTTATTAATGATTTATCCTCTCAGTATAGCAAGTAACTCTTTTATTATTCCTAATAGCTGCAAAAGTCAGAATAAACCAAAACTTGAAGAGGTTCTAGTAGAATGATTCCATCCACAGACTCGAAAGTTGCATTTCAATGTCTTGTTTTCACAACTGACTCTTTGATAAAACTGGTTAACCTCTCTGTCTTTCCACTAGCTTTCAAAGTCACAAAACGTAGATAAGTAATTGCTAAAGAGGATTCTGCTATAACACCAGATTAGATACGGTTTAAATGACTCCTTCGATGCTCTGTTTCTTCCTGTACTCCTATGTAGTAAGGAAATTATAGTTATATTAAGAAAACCTTTCAGTTGCTAATACGGTAATTTTCATAGTTCAATATTTATCTGCAAAGCTAGTCCCGTAAAAAAGTAGAGTTTGTATCTATTTTTCCCATTAACTAAGCGTGGCCAAGCGAGTGGAAACGCTCTGTGCCACTATCATCATCGCCGTAACCGTTACCACCCACCCCCACCCCCACCATCGTAAACATCAGTGTCATCACCATCATTATCTTCACTTTCGATAAAACACGTCACCTTCACCAATCAGCACCGACCGCTATCATCCTGTCCTTTACTAAGTATCATGCCCCATATCACCACCAGCAACAGCACCACTCACCACCCCCATTATCATCATCATCATCATCTTTAGTCACCACTATCACAATCACCATCGTCGTCATCACTTTCACGAACACACACCAAACTCGTCATCTTCACAAACTATCACCTCCAGCACCAGCATCACTCACCACTGACCACGCCCATCATCATCATCATCATCATCATCATCATCATCATCATCATCTTTAGTCACCACTATCACCATCACTATCATCTTCATCCCTTTCACGAACACTCACTAAACTCATCATTTTCACAAACAATCACCACCAGTACCAGCACCACTCACCACTGACCACGCCCATTATCAGCAGCATCATTATCATCATCATTATCTCCACCAATCACCAACACCACCGTCGCCATCTTTACCTTCACCAACCACCATGGATTGCCATCATCATCACGATCAACATCACCCTCATAGTCCATTACCACTAAAATCACGAGCACCATCACCATCACCAACGTACCTTATTATAGGAAATTAACGCTCCATGAAATTAAGGTATTGGAAATTAACGCGACTTAAATTAACGCAAATTTAATGGAAAACGACTTTCGAATAGAGAAAATTAACGCGAAAAAGGAGGTAGAATTTCATAATAAAGGAAATTAACGCGATAAAGACACAGTTGGCGGCCGAAATAAAAGGAGAAGATATTGACATTTCTTCTGACAGCGACAAAGATGAAGATGAACTCGAAATATTGTAGACCTTCACCCTAGCTTTTGTGAAAGATGAAAAATAAAGGGTAAATGGAAAGAAAGAAAGCTTGTAGTTAATGTTTTTTAGGTGTCAAGAATGTCTGGGCAGGTTCCAAAATTGGAGTTAAAATACTGGAAATTAAGGGCGCGGAAATTAACGCTACACTTAATTAACGTCGCGGAAATTAACGCTCAACAAAATTAACGCGACTTAAATTAACGCGAATTTTAATGATTCGCGTTAATTTTATAGAGCGTTAATTTCCTATAATAAGGTATTTGCCATTGCTATTGTACCTCTTAAGACAAAGTAGAAAGAATTTACTTCTTTGTAAAGCTTACCTTTGTTGTATTTCTTGACAGTTTTCTCCCACACGCTTGGACATTTTCCAACTTTCTCGCGTACACAACTGACGCTGCAAATCTGATTCTGGCCGTCTTCCTTTAAGTACATCTTAAATGTAGAATTAAAAGAACAGGATTCCATTTGAAACTCTTATGCTTAAAACAATCGGCCTGTTCCCAGCCTTAGAAAAAAACCAGCATTCAGGGTTCTATTTCCATGTACATGTACTTCTCGCTTAGCTTTTCAAAGCAAGCGTCCTCCTATTAACGTAAACTTACTTGACTGTGTCTTGACATACTGGGATATGGCATGCAGATGAATAAGGTCTTTGATTTTTTTATTTCAGAAATCTTTTCTAAGAAGAACATTTCTGTGTCTAGTATTTTCCTGCTTAACAGTTTTGCCTCTAAAACTGAATTTTGCCATTCAAGTGATCAAGACGCAAAAGAAACTGCCTTTGACTGTCTTAGAGGTCACGCTTATTTACCTCCTCAGTTCTTTTAACCAAATGGCTCTACGGATCGCAGGGAAGCGTATAACGTATATATTTAACAATTATTCCTCGAGCCCGAATGGGCTGTGAGTCAATAGTCCATGAGACCGAAGGCCGAATGGGCTATTGACTCAGAGGCCATGAGGGCGAGAAAAAAAAATTTAGCTAGTTAAAGCTAGGCTTTAAAACTTTTTTGCCGCCAAAAAGCCCGCGCTTTTCGCCACTAGGGGGCTATAACATATAGCCTAGTAGTAGCTCAACCAATCAGAACGCAGCATTGATAATAGACCACTAGTTGGATTTTAAAGCGTATATACCGCGCAACTAACCTGTGCATAGTAAAGAGCATTAGTCTTTTCTGTGGCGCTTGCATCTTTGCC